AGTAAAAATAATTCTAGAAATCTATGGAGAAATGTACTTTTGTAAAATAGCTGGTTTTTAAATGACAGCTGTTATTAATTAGTCTTTTTTCAAATGTGAAAATACCATATGTGATGACAAAATTAAGTTAAAGCCACTTGTCAAATTATTTTTTTTTAAATTCAGAACAACTTTTGGCTGAACACAAATGTGTTCAGTTGAAGCACAATGACACCGTCATGAACTAGACATCATTTTCTCCTTTTCCAGGTTTTAATCTGAAAAGGCAATCTAATAATTTCATTGGCTCAAACATAGGTAGCTTAGTTTCAAAACACCCCCCTACCAGCATCCCATTCCTTTGTTTCTTGGTCATAAGAAAGAGTAGAAAAAAATTATAAAATGTCATGAGGAGTTATCAGAAGACCACAAGGTACAATTCTGTGAGAAACTGAAGATGCCCTGAGAACTGAAAACAAGGTCCTTCCATAAAGAATGGTAAGACATTCTGTAAGACATCATGACTGTACACTGTAAAAATCCTATCCTCTGCCAGTGTGCCTACAGATGCAAAACTCAGTTCTTGGTCAATCACTGTAGAAATCCATACTTCCTTAGAAGACTGTCTTTCCAAGGAAACAGATGCCCCAAATAAACATACAAAACCTTCTTTCCTGCCTTCTACTTTCCTCAATTAGAAAATAAAAAAATCTTGATGCTTTCAACAAACAAGATCACTTTCAAGGTGAAAACACAGTGTTATGTTTTGTGGATACAGCAGTCATGCACAATCTTTATATGTCTGACAACTATGGAGAAAAAACCCTAGTTCAATTTGACTCATTAGTTGTCTATACTAACAAGGTTACAATTCCCAACATTTGTTCTTTGCCATGTTGGCATTTTACAGGCTGATCTTTAATTCATTCTTTAATGACACATCAGTTTGCTCATAAAGCAGACCTCCGGGTCTCCTAACCACTTTATTAGATGAGTTACAGTGTATTCCCTTCCCTTTCCCTTTCCCTTTCCCTTTCCCTGTCCCTTTTTCCCTCTCTATTCTTCTGTTCATAGAGAAGACTAAATGCAATACAGCTCCTTATTCTATCTCAGCTGTGTTTCTACATTTCCCCTCATTAGGAAGACATCCTGTCCTCCTAGTACCTGTCCCTGAGAGTTTATGACATAGTTTAACACATACTTTGTGGTAAATGTCCAACTCTTTCTCAGACTTGTGTAGTAAATATGACAGGCTGGAAAGTACTTCATAAGAGTAAAAGTGGCAGCTGATATATATATATTTCTATATATATGAGAAATATTGTAGCATTTCTCACTTTTTTTCATGCTGTCACAGTTTACAGAATTTTTAAATGTGCATTCTCATAAGGATTATTACATATCTCTCTAACCAGAGCAGCTGAAAATGCATTTCGTATTAGGCCTGTGGTTGAAATGACAAATGATGGGTATATGTTATATAATTTTCAGTTACGTAATTTCAATTTCTTGTAAACTTCGTTCTCATTGTTATGTGTTGGTCCCCAAATAATAGCTATTTACAATTGTCACCTCTACACTGTATCTCCTATGTTCCTATGTTCCTATGTTCTCCTATGCTCTTCTTTATTCTATAAAATGCATTCTAATGTTTATTAATTGTCACCTCTACACTGTATCTCCTATGTTCCTATGTTCCTATGTTCTCCTATGCTCTTCTTTATTCTATAAAATGCATTCTAATGTTTATTTTTTCTTAGAATCATAGAATCATAGAATGGTTAGGGTTGGAAGGGACCTCAAAGATCATTGAGTTCCAAACCCCTGCCATGGGCAGGGACACCTCCCACTACAGCAGGTTGCTCAAGGCCCCATCCAGCCTGGCCTTGAACACTTCCAGGGATGGGGCATCCACAGCTTCTCTGGGCAACCTGTTCCAGTGTCTCACCACCCTCATAGTAAAAAATTTTTTCCTGAGAACTAATCGTAATCTTTTTTCTTCCAATTTAAAACCGTTTCCCCTTGTCCTATCATTACACCTCCTGGCAAAGAGTCCCTCCCCAGCTCTTCTATAGGCACCCTTCAGGTATTGAAAGGCTGCTATAAGGTCTCCCTGGAGCCTTCTCTTCTCCAGGCTGAACAATCCCAGCTCCCTCAGCCTGTCTTCATAGGAGAGGTGCTCCATCCTTCTGATCATCTTCGTGGCCCTCTGCTGCACCTGTTCCAGCCGGTCCATGTCCTTTCTGTGTTGAGGACTCCAAAGCTGGACACAGTACTCCAGGTGGGGTATCACGAGTGCAGAGTAGAGGGGCAGAATCACCTCCCGAGACCTGCTGGCCACACATCTCCTGATGCAGCCCAGGACACAGTTGGCTCTCTGGGCTGCCAGCGCACACTGCTGGCTCATGTTGAGCTTCTCGTCCATAGGGGACACTGGCCGGGTTCCAGAGCAGGGCCATGCAGGCCGTGAGGTTCTGTGTGCCTGTCCCACCTGGGTCCCAAAGGGCTGTCCTTGTCCCGGGGGCTCTGTGCTGCTTTGTGTGTGGGGCCGTGTCCGTGGGTCCTGCCCTCAAACAGACACCACCGCCCCCCCCCCCATCCCCATCAACTGCGTCACTTCCTTGTGGTGGGACTCGGCCCCGGCCCCTCTGCCAGAGCCCTGCGCTTGCTGGGTGGTGAGGATGGGGGGCTGCTCCCCCTCTTTGTCCCACGCCTCTCCCCCAGGGCGGGCTGGGTTGTTGCCACCCGGCTGGTGGTGGCTCGCCCCTGGGGGCAGCTGGTTGCCCTTTGGGGCTCGTGGGTTGCGATTTGGGGCTCATCGGGGCTGTGGCATCTGGGCAGTGCTGCTTCCCGGTGCCTTCTGTGCTTGTACCACCAGGGCCTCTGGCCCTCTGGTGACGGTCCTAGACCGGTTCTGGAGAAACAACTTTTAATTGCAACAACTTGTGGACTTTATAACAGAAGAGAAAAGGCCCCATCGAAGCTACTCTAAACTCCCCTCCCTCAAACACCCCCCGCTTGGTGAGGATGGGGGGCTGCTCCCCCTCTTTGTCCCACGCCTCTCCCCCAGGGCGGGCTGGGTTGTGGGCACCTCCGTCCCCACGTCCCCCCAGGGCTCCGGGGACTGCACTGATGGCTCCGTCCCCACATCATCCCAGGGCTCCGGGGACTGTGCTGATGGGTCTGTCCCCATGTTGCCCTGGGGCTCTGGGGTCATTGGCCATGGCTCGGGTGATACGTACCACCAGGGCCTCTGGCCCTCTGGTGACGGTCCTGTCCCCACATCCCCCCAGGGCTCCGGGGACTGTGCTGATGGGTCTGTCCCCATGTTGCCCTGGGGCTCTGGGGTCATTGGCCATGGCTCGGGTGATACGTACCACCAGGGCCTCTGGCACTCCCGTGAGGGCTCCATCCCCACATCATCCCAGGGCTCCGGGGACTGTGCTGATGGCTCCGTCCCCATGTTGCCCTGGGGCTCTGGGGTCATTGGCCATGGCTCAGGTGATACGTACCACCAGGGCCTCTGGCACTCCCGTGAGGGCTCCATCCCCACATCATCCCAGGGCTCCGGGGACTGTGCTGATGGCTCCGTCCCCATGTTGCCCTGGGGCTCTGGGGTCATTGGCCATGGCTCAGGTGATACGTACCACCAGGGCCTCTGGCACTCCCGTGAGGGCTCCATCCCCACATCATCCCAGGGCTCCGGGGACTGTGCTGATGGCTCTGTCCCCATGTTGCCCTGGGGCTCTGGGATCATTGGCCAAGGCTCGGGTGGTACGTACCACCAGGGCTCCTGGCCCTCTGGTGATGGTCCCGTCCCCACATCCCCCCAGGGCCCCTTGGACTTTGGTGGCCGCTCCATGGGTTGTGCTGCGGCCACCGCTCTCCCCTCTCCTCTGGTGGCACCAGGGTCCCCAGGCCTGGAGATGGTGCTGGAGCTTTCCTGACCGCACCCCACCGTGTCCATGGAGGACCCAAAGAGCCTGAGGGCCTCTTGAAGCAGCATCTCCTCAGTCAGTTCCATGGTGCTGGCTGGGTCCCCAGGAGCTGGTTTGTGGGGGCCAGCAGAGGGTCCGGGAGACATGTGGCTGCGTGGGAGGAGATGGCCGCCCAGGGGTGCCCCCGCGGGGGTGGCTGCGCTGGAGGTGTTGCTCCATGCAGGGGGTCCCTGGACGTGCTGGAGGCCGGGCATGGAGGTCAGCAGCAGCTCCGCGGGGGCTGCGGCCACCGCTCTGCCCTGGTGGCCGTAGGCTGGGAGCTGCGTGGGTTGTCCCTGGAGGCTGCCGGGGGCTGCCGAGGCCGGGAGGGTCTGACAGCCCCTGAGACCCCACAGGGCAGGGCCCGGGGGAGCAGCGGTGCCGTGGCTGAGTGTGAGGGTGGCCGGTGGAAGCGGGTTGGTGATGGTCCGCTGGAGGTGGAAGCCCTGGGGATGGAAGCAGCAGCCGCAGGGGGCCATCTGCAGCCCTGTGGGGGGAAAGGGAGCCGTGCTGGGCTGGGGGCAGCCTCCAGGGCACCCGCCGAGCCCAGGGCACCCCTGTGGTCCCCGTCCCTGCTGTGGGCCAGGCTCCTGGGGAGCTGGTGGCCGGGCACTCCCCGGGGTGAGCTGCTGTGCTGGGGGGGGACAGGGCTGGAAACCAGGGAGGGGACGCGCTTCTGGGGGGGAAACGTGAGAGGTGGCCCAAGGGGGTGGGAAAGTCTCTGGAAATGGGCTTTAGTGGGCAGGCGAGGGCAGGGACGCTCAGCCGGGCTTGCTGAAGCCTCCCCCCCGGTGCCAAAAGTGCTGTGGGGGAAGAGGGGAGGTGGGACGGTGAAGGTGAGAAGGGAGAGGGGGGTGAGATGGTGCCGGTGAGCAGGGTCCTTGGGGGCTGAAGGTGGCAGAGGGGAGAGGGGGGCCATACCTGGTGGTGGGGCCTGAGGGGCCCATGGTTGTGCCCCCACGGGGGGAGCCCAGGCTGCGGGGAAGGGCTGCTCCTGCCCGGGCAGTGGAGCCAGGGTGGCCCAGCCTGGAAGAGAGACAGGAGCTATGGCCATGGGTTGTCCCTGGAGGCTGCCGGGGGCTGCCGAGGCCGGGAGGGTCTGACAGCCCCTGAGACCCCACAGGGCAGGGCCCGGGGGAGCAGCGGTGCCGTGGCTGAGTGTGAGGGTGGCCGGTGGAAGCGGGTTGGTGATGGTCCGCTGGAGGTGGAAGCCCTGGGGATGGAAGCAGCAGCCGCAGGGGGCCATCTGCAGCCCTGTGGGGGGAAAGGGAGCCGTGCTGGGCTGGGGGCAGCCTCCAGGGCACCCGCCGAGCCCAGGGCACCCCTGTGGTCCCCGTCCCTGCTGTGGGCCAGGCTCCTGGGGAGCTGGTGGCCGGGCACTCCCCGGGGTGAGCTGCTGTGCTGGGGGGGGACAGGGCTGGAAACTAGGGAGGGGACGCGCTTCTGGGGGGGAAACGTGAGAGGTGGCCCAAGGGGGTGGGAAAGTCTCTGGAAATGGGCTTTAGTGGGCAGGCGAGGGCAGGGACGCTCAGCCGGGCTTGCTGAAGCCTCCCCCCCGGTGCCAAAAGTGCTGTGGGGGAAGAGGGGAGGTGGGACGGTGAAGGTGAGAAGGGAGAGGGGGGTGAGATGGTGCCGGTGAGCAGGGTCCTTGGGGGCTGAAGGTGGCAGAGGGGAGAGGGGGGCCATACCTGGTGGTGGGGCCTGAGGGGCCCATGGTTGTGCCCCCACGGGGGGAGCCCAGGCTGCGGGGAAGGGCTGCTCCTGCCCGGGCAGTGGAGCCAGGGTGGCCCAGCCTGGAAGAGAGACAGGAGCTATGGCCATGGTCACCTGCTGCGCTCTTGGCCCCAAGAGCATCCCTGGGCTGTGGGTTGGGATTGGTCCCTACCTTGAGGGTAGAAGGTTTGCGGGAGCACAAAGGTGGGAAGGATCTGGGGTGCTGCAGGAGCGCAGGGGCCGTTCAGTGGGAGCCAGAGTGGTGGCAGCGCCATGGTCGGTCCTCTCGCTCTCTCTGCTGCTAAGGACTCTTTGGTCACCCGGGATGGAATGTTGGGGCTCCCTGTGCTCCCCACCCCCCCACACCCCTCCTTTTTCCCTCCCTGCCTCCCCATGTCCTGCTGGAGGACTGCTGGGAGATGGGCCGGTCTTGGTCACAGTCCTCATGAAATGGTTGAATTTAAAATTTCCCCACGTCCCCCCAGGGCTCCAGGGACTGCGCTGATGGCTCTGTCCCCATGTTGCCCTGGGGCTCTGGGGTCATTGGCCATGGCTTGGGTGATACGTACCACCAGGGCCTCTGGCCCTCTGGTGACTGTTCCGTCCCCACGTCCCCCCAGGGCTCCTTGGACTTTGGTGGCAGCTCCATCCCCACATTCTCCCAGAGCTTGTGGAACTCCGTCCCAGAGAGGAGTTTCTCCAGGAAGTGCATGGCCTCCATGGTCTCGTCCAGAGTGTAGTTCTGGTTGAGCAGCTCCTTCTGGCACATGGAGGGTGTCGGACTCGCTGGGGGAGATGGCTGTTTAGGTGTCCTCAGGCTCCCTGGGCCTGGGGCTGCTGCCAGGACTGTCCTGGCTGACACCTCCCACCTCCCCAGAGCAGTCAAAGTGCCTCAGGACCTCTTCCAGAGGAAGCTCTGGAGGTCCTCTGACGTCCCCGAGGGCTTGTGCTGATGGCTCTGTCCCCATGTTGCCCTGGGGCAATTCTTATGTTTTCTGTTCTGCAAACTCAGTCTTCCCTTTGCTTTCCAAGCTTCTCTTTTTCACATTTATGCTACTTCAGTGTCACCAAAAGGCTGCTGAGAGGTGGACTAGCTAAGTTATACTCCTGGGTCCCTCAAGGCAAGCAAAAATTTTTGTATCGTAGCAGTGATTTAGTTCACTTCTGAGCCATGAAGGTCAGAAGAAGCAGGAAGAAGTGGTGGCAGGAAAGAATGGCAATACGTAGGGTTCATCCCAGTTCTGTATGCTACAGGCACATCTTATCCAAGTACTCAGAGAAAAGTTATGGTACCAATACTTTGAGTATGTGCAAAATAGCTAAAAAGCCTCCTGCTATCATGCAAGAACATTGCCACATCCAAATACATTTTTGTAGGGCTTTAAAAAAACTGGTCACTCTTGTGTTGTGTTTATTGCATTGATATTTTCTCCTTATTTCCAGCTGCTGCTGCAGTTGATTTTATTTTATTTTGGAGACAGCTTTATGTTCTCTCAGAGCATCTCCTGATAAAAATCAGATAATTCAGTTACATTCCCGAAGTGTTTTCAGTCTAATTTCAGACATGACATGGCGAAGAGCATAACAAGACTTAGCAGAAGGAGACACAGAGAGAGAAAAACAGAGAGTTCAGTAATAAAAGATTACATGTCTCTCCAGTAGAGTCTAATACACTCTGTGGTGAAGCAAGTTTAAAATGAAAACACAGTAAACAACTCCTTGCTTGCTGATATCACTGGAAAAATAAGCCCTTTTAAGATGAATGTTGCTATTTTTGTACCAATGGACTATTCACAAGCACATCCTACATGATATCAGGTAAATGCCAGGAAGAACGAAGTGGAAACCTTGAGCTCATTTGTCTGCCAGACTCTTTTCTCTTTTAAAACATGATCATATCATCACTCGTAAGATGGAGGCCTCTTGCCGTGGAAGGGACCATCCCTTTTGCAACTGGAGAAGCTCCATTCGCCACGTGGGTTTTTGGGAAAGAGGGGAAGAAATGCCCTGCAAGGGGCTGTTTCTGAAAGGTGCTGGACCCAATCCAACAAGCAATTGGTGACATATTTAGTTTTACATTTCCTGTGGGCAGGTGCTTGTGTCCTGGATTAGATTTGACTACATGGCACAGGACCTTGTAGAATTACACCTTTACATTTCTAATCCTGATTTAGAAAATATGACCATAAAGAAATTTTTGCACTTAAGAAGTTTGGGGGTGACACTGTAATTAAAAATTAATATTCCTTCCCCCCTCCTCTAAATTACAGCCTCAGAAGAAAAAAAAAGCTGCAGTGGTATAAATCTATTAAAAATTAGTGTTATGATTTAGTGAAATTTCTAAAATTAATTCAAATTTCTGTAAGAGGAGTGGAAGAGAAGATGGTCACTTACTTAACATCCCGGCTACAAGCAAGGTGTCAGGTCAAAAGAACAGGGCTATCCACAAAGTCTTGAAGCTAAGCAAGAACATAAGAAAAAGGCTTTTCCAGCTGTTGGTATCAGGATTTCCTTTACTATTATGATAGTTCATGTACCAGGGGTTTCTTGGGTTCCTAGGGCGCAGGACACAAGAGCAAAACAGAATAATAATAAGTGTTACTAACCTCTTTCTTCACGCAGTAGTTGAAAAAAAAAAAAAAAAAAAAAGATTATAAAAGGCCCTGGGCAAAATTTGAGCTATATACTTTGCCGATGAACAGCATAGTGAGCTTGGAGTTGACTGAGCCTGGATTTTTTTCTGGTAAAGCTAGAGTTAAATTGCTTTGCCATCCATTATACTTTCCCAGCTTTCTTAGATTTCCTCCCTGGAACAAAGCCAGGATTTTACGGGGAGCAGGAAGGTTGTTATGTGCGTGGAATAAACAAGAAAACCTCCTGTCTCAGGCAGAGCCATGTGCTGCCTGGAGGTGAAAGACCCAAATTCAAGTCCCTTCTCTTCCTGTCTGCAGAGAAAGCCATCAGACTGCTATCCTCTGTGTTTCCTTTTCACATTTTTGCTGTTCCAATTTGTCTAGATATCCAGATGGATCATAGAATCATAGAATCATAGAATCATATGGGGTTGGAAGGGACCTCTGGAGATCATCTAGTCCAACCCCCACACCAGAGCGGTTCTACCTAGAGCATGTTGCACAGGAACTTGTCCAGGCGTGTTATGAATGTCTCCAGAGAAGGAGACTCCACCACCTCTCTGGGCAGCCTGTTCCAATGCTCTGCCACATCATATGAGCATCCATCAGGACTGCTCTCTTCCCAGCCCATGGGATAACCTATGGAAGGTGTGGTTGTTTCTTTCCCTCCCTTGGAAGTGTTGCCCTTAGCACCCGTTGGTGGGATGGGAAGGTGATGGGGATGCAGCCTTGAGGCTGCACAAACCCACCACCCCCTGGGGCCAGATCTGACCCTGTCATAAACAGAGTTTGATTGAACAACTGCTTTATCTCATATTAAAAAGCTGATGTGAATGATAGGTTGAATTAGATCTCAAGTGCATTCAAACTGTGTCAGGGGAAGCAGAAGAGGGGCTGTTAACATGAAATCACATTTAAATTGTGGCTCTTTATGCTTAAACCTCCCTCCAGCCTAATTGAGCAATACAAGTTTCTTTTTCCTCTCTCAGTGGTATCCACTGGTATGGTCAGTTTATCTTTCTCTTCTTATGTTTCTCCGCTAGCCATGTTCTCTATTTTAAAAAATAGAATTAAAGTGTTGAATTGTCTGAAAACTCTGTAAAGTATTAAGAAGAGCAAAAAGATTAAATCTGAAAGGTCATTACTCTGATTCTTCCTTTCTAAAATATATTGTCTAATGAAAAAATAAATAGCATTTTAAAATGCACAGTTACAGATAAAATCCTGTCCTCCTTTCCTCCTCTGTATTAATTTTACCCAGATCTGCTGCTCATTAGTAGAAGTTTGTGTATCTTGGATTTAGAATTCTGTTGTTGTAACTAAACTGAAGATCTGTGTACTCGGTCAGGCATGCCCAATGTTGTCTACATATTTCTTCATACTCCGGACCCATATTCAACTCCTGGTGCCTTTTAACACCTTGTAGAATGCAGCAAAACCTCAGTAACATTCCTCAGTTAGCATCACATACATCTTTTTTTTTTTTTTCCTCACCGTCTCATGTGGTAAGTTTCTCCTTTATCAGAACAAGAATAGATTTTTTTTCTAAAGTAAGAATAGAAATTGAATATATAAAAGCTCATAAAAAATCAACTCCTGAGAACAAAGTAATTCTGAGCCCACGTCACCCAGACTACCCTCTTCTTGAAGGTGTGGGGGAAAGAGAAAGAGAGAGAGAAAGAGAGAGAGAAAGAGAGAAAGAGAGAAAGAGAGAGAGAGAGAGAGAGAGAGAGAGAGAGAGAGAGAGAGAGAGAGAGAGAGAGAGAGAGAGAGAGAGAGAGAGAGAGAGAGAGAGAGAGAGAGAGAGAGAGAGAGAGAGAGAGAGAGAGAGAGAGAGAGAGAGAGAGAGAGAGAGAGAGAGAGAGAGAGAGAGAGAGAGAGAGAGAGAGAGAGAGAGAGAGAGAGAGAGAGAGAGAGAGAGAGAGAGAGAGAGAGAGAGAGAGAGAGAGAGAGAGAGAGAGAGAGAGAGAGAGAGAGAGAGAGAGAGAGAGAGAGAGAGAGAGAAAGAAAGAAAGAAAGAAAGAAAGAGAGAGAGAATATGTGCTTCTGAGCTGGGTAGCCTGTGAAGCAGCATTGTCACACATAGTCAAGCTATTTCCAATCAAAATCTCTCAAAGACAGTTACAATATCTTTGCAAGACAAACGTTTACATGTGCAGGATTTTAGCTGACCTACCAGTGCACGTGAAATGTAAATCTATTTTATATTTTTTTTTAATTAATTCTATTTACAGTGCTAGGGTTTCAGACCATGTTTAAATCACTGGGCTTCACCTATAGTAGTGGGAGTATGTAGAATCCTAAAAGACTCTATGCAGATGGCCTTATTCCCATGGGGAGAAGGCAAATTAACATGAGGGTCATTGGCATTCATCGAATACTTGCTCTGTCTGGCAAATGATGACATCAATCTTGGTGCAAAAGGGATCATGCATTATTCTATATGCAATCAACTACTAAATTTAAACAGTGGTGGGACAATAATTTTTTTTTTTCAAGAAGGGTCATTAATAGCCAAAGGCCTGAACCGTCAAACCTTTACTTACATGAACAGTCTTTGCTCGTACAGGTTATCTCATTAGGCAACTGCCTTGGCGAACAAGGCCCTTGTAATACAGGGTTTCAGGAATTAGCATCTGAAG